CTGAGCCGTCTGCATCCATGTATTTCCTGCAATTGGTTTTCCTTTAGCACCGAGCATGTGGTAAATCAACAATTACATTGGTGTCGGCGGGACCGAACCTCGGTGACTTGCGTACTGTACGCGTACAGCGAGCGCTTAGCTTTTTTATAGCCCCTGAGCTACTATGTTCCATATTACTACTTGTAATCTATGTTGATTAAAAATCATTCCGTTCTATTCTACAAGATTCATGGTTTCCTAATCTGTAAAGCCGTGCATATATTAAGAGGCCGTGCAGAAAATTTATTCGATAGAGTTTAGGCAAATTCAATGCGGTGCTATCTTTGTGTGCATCGTAACGCACAAACGGCTAAAGACCGAGCGCAGTGCTCGCTTAAACAGTTTGATCCTTTAGTTGATAATTATTTTAGGATACATAGTAAAAACGGTTTAGAAATAAAAAGTCTGGGATGTTTTTGTATAATAGTTTAGTATATTTATTACAATCAACATAAAATTAAAATAAAAAAGAAATGTGTTAGACAAATACACAATGCATATATATATTTAAGTAATTCAATGTTTTCGTTCTGCGACGTCATTAATGTCTGCTAGAGAGTACAGACAAATTTAACATGTCTTATTGGTATTTGCCCGAAAATCAAACATCGTGATTTCATTAAAACAAAGTTTTTGTAAATGCAAAACATTTAAATTTAAATATTAGGCCGTATATGAGAAACGGAATGTTAAAGGGATAAATAAAATACAGAGCACGAGTGCGTGACGTACACGTCAAGTATATACTTTGATTTTAAAATTGATAATACTCGTTTCTTTTATAATATTTACTCAATGTTTTGAATTTACTTTTATCCATGAGGGATACAAATTACACATTTTGGCAAAAATAAGGTGAACATGCTAAAGGATACTTGTAGTTTCGATAAAACATTCGGCCTATTTAGTTTAAATCTATGTCCAATATCGGTTGAAATAAAAAATAATTAAAATGTTTTGTCTCTCAGTGGCATTGAGCGAGTTTTTCTTGGATCGACTATTTCTGGTAAAAGGCATGTATTGTAGAAAACTACGAGCCTTTTTTCCATCTTAGTCTTCCAAATACTATCGTCCCTATATATTTGTTCAACTTTCAGTGGTTGCTCAGGCCATGTCCATACAGCAAAAAGGCACAAATATTTATTTGCGATGTGGAGTTTGCTTTGTACTTGGTACCACCAATCGTGGTTTTTATTTATTATTAATTCGTTATTTCGGATTTTCCAAAACTTTATTTTTTGGCTTTTATAGCGTCATCGTGGTTCATTCCAAATGCTGAGATGGGGCATTTTAATTCGACGATTCCGTTTTCTAATAATACATATGGTGTTGCACCCAGGAAAAAGTGCTCCTCATCGATAAATAGACCACATTGTTCAAAAACGAGGTGTTCCTGCCTTTCGAACTGAGCCAATGCATTCCGCTCGTTAAATTTGCCATGTTGAATGGCTGCAACGTGGTCAATGGAATATTTATACAGCAAATTTCTTACAAGACCTGCAGAACTTATATTATTCCTTCGTTTGCAGACCTTGCTAAAATTTGAAGCAGTCAAAAGGCATCTCCGTAACTCCAACCACAAGACGCTTTCCGCCTGCAATATAGTCTCCCTTTCGATATCATGCCTTTGCTCTATTAAGTATTTCAGGTTTTGCAGAAACTAAAACTAAATATTGCTCATCTGTCATGTCCAGCCTTTGGCAAGAATCGCCGTAATCCATGTTGTTATTGTTGAATAACAGTCTTTTTTTAGTTCAGTTAGCATTTCTGCGCTTCAAATTTTTTGGTTGCTGTTGATGGACTGTTGTTAAAATGGTTTTGTAAAATTCGCTTATAGGTTTCCCAGTATTAAAAGCAACGACCGCTGCATAACACCTCAAGGCATATGAATTTTTTAAAGAATAATTGACGCGTTTGCCACTTACATATTTGGCTACTATAGAATTAAACTGTTCAGCTCTATTATATAACGCGGAGTTTATTACACAATATATTATTTAAATTGTGTAATAAACTCCACGCATTGAATGCCAGGGTAGATGCAATTGTAATTAGTTTTTGGATTAATATTTTGGCATCAGGCACAAAGTTTATTTCGGACCTTTTCTCGTCATCACAGTAGTATCCATCACACTGGGAATGGTCACCAAATATATGCTTGGGACTGTTTACGATGTCCCTCTGCAGAGATTTAATTTTTTTCGTTAAAGGGAAATTCTGAGCCATTCTGAACCTTACTGCTGCTTTTGCAGCAATGCGCAGTCGTTTCACGCGTTCTGTATTTAGAAATTTACGCTGATTTCAGGGAATGGACGTAACTCTTATTAGATTTAAAATTTTGCCGTTATAGTTCCGCATTAGGTGATAGGAACACTCAATTTTTTCTACTATTACATTTGGATACGACCTGCTTTCCAAAATATTCTTGAAGGTGCTCGAGTCTCCATCTGCAATAAGTTTTGCGTAAACTAAATTGTGTGTTTCCACGGAACTTCGGAATCCCTCAACTATAATTGACTTCTACATACTTGCTGAAGAGCCTGTGTGGTTTACATTGCACTGATGATCTGGAGGTGTTTTATTTTGTGGGCTGCACGAGAACACACGATACAATATTTATTTTTTATGCCAACGTGTAGTATTTTGCCTGTGTTTAAACAAAACAAACAAACAAACAAAAAAGACAAAGTTTAAAATTTGTTTTATATGATCTTTCACCCCATGCACCATCAGCTGTCACCGATATGGAAGGTATGCCTGAAGGACTAACACTCCCTTTTTCCAAAGCCATATTAGCTTCATCCTTACCGGCTTCAATCATGGAAGATTCAGCTGTGGTCTTCCACCAGTTATAAAAGTCGTCATGGCATTTCTGGTAGGTACATTTGCTAATAAGAAGCAAATTAATAGAAGCTGCTAGTTCGTTTAGGTTTGCTCGGCCACAGCGCTATGGTTAACGCCTAATGCATTTATTATTGACATACCTGACATGTATTTATCTGAAAATGACTTCCGCACATACTACATGATAAATAAATTTTGGATGCAAACGACTGCATTTTTTCTTTTATTATTATCAGATTTGAAAGTTTACATCCAAATCTATCGTTATGGTTAGATATAGTGATACTACAACAAAATTATACATTACAACCAGTTACCTACGGGACATACCCTAGATTAGGGATGGCGAACCAATGGCACGCGGCAAAACATTTTGGACACGCCACCGATCGACAAAGTACGTAACAAACACTATGAAAAACAAAAGAACGTGACTAAGCCTACGTGCGTGGAGTTGATATTATTGTTTTTATTATTTTCCCCAATAATTACTAGGTCTCAATTATTGGATGGCACATCTATGGCCGCTTTAAACATTTATTTACAGAGAATGGCACGTTCATCTTTATAGGTTCGTCACCCTGCCATAGCTCACAATTTAGGTATCTTAATTTTGACCCAATTCGATGCAGCCGCGGGTGCTATTTTTGCATTATTTCATGCGGACATAATGAAATGCAACAGTAGACAAAATCGTATTTTATGAATGGTATCTGAAATGGGTACTAATCATTAAAAAACTGTCAAAATTAAAATATCAATGAACATAGCAGACGTACTGAGACAGCAGCCGGGTCTAACTATTAGGTACTAAGAACCACCCAGGTGATCCCATACGAAGAAAAAAATCATAATAATTGGTATAGCCGTTTAGGATAACAAGAATTACGAACACGCACACCTGAACTTTTTATATAAAGACTAGGCGTGCTACATATTATTATTCTTAATAAACAAACATTCCAAAAAAAAAAAATACCTACCCTGATCAAAATTTGGTGGTCGGCGTACAATTTCTGGAAATGTTTACGTAAAACACGGGAGCGCCTGCGATGCAAAGTGATACGTCCTGCTCTGGGAAGGCCCGGTCGTCACTGATCGATGATTTTGCGCGGTCGATAATATAGTTCACTTTGCCATTTAGTAATAAACGAAATTATTATTTATTTACGAAATAAAATTTAGTTTCCAATAAAGGGTTATCTTAAGATTAATGTGTAATTTTTTAAATTAATTAAAAGTGTTTCTATGTAATGGAAAAAATACTTATTTCGAACGAAGTTTTCTGGACATTACGTTATTTCAACAATTTTTTTCTGCTATATTGGGATAGAAATTAAAAAAAAAACTGATCTGGCTAAAAACAAGTAGACCGCATACTTATGTTAATTATATTTTTTAATGTTTGAAATATTTTGTAGTTTCGTTGTAAAACGAAGACAAAAATCACTTGATTGTTACTTTTCGGAAAAAGGGTTGTGAATATTGGTGATTTGCCATTATTATATAGATAATATGATACATCCCTTCAAGCCAGATATTAGATTAAGAACTAGACTATTATAATAAAAAAAAAGTTAAAATTCGTTTTCCCGTTCACACAAACAGTGATCAGATTTGTCCGAAATGAGTTGATTTCGCGCACGGGGCCTTAATCGCGATAAAGATCGCTAAGCGCCTATATATTGTATTTCTAATCGACACCTTTTTATACCAATCAGACTCATCAACAATTTACCCAAACGTTGTTAGTTGTCGCCACACGCATTCAAAGATAACATCTATACTTTTCAAATACAACCTTAGGCTACGGAAAATTGTCCACATAAAACATTCAAGTCTCTTGCGCGATGCACCGGTATAAGTGTAACGTCCTCCATCCATTCATAATTCATGTAAATTGAAATGGAGCCTATTAATTACATACATAAGTTAATAAAATACAAGTGGCCCTAAAACATATAGCGGTGATAATGATAGTGAATTGGATAGTTTACAAAAAAGCTTTAACTAAAAATAGCTATATGATGGTTAATGGACTAGTATCGATAGTTTTTATCTAGTCTTTAAAATGTACATTATGATACGAGGTTAATCGTAACCATTTCTATCGAGAAATGTTGTTACAAAAAGGATACGTAACTACGAGACGTCGAATTATAATTGCTGGTTTGATACTGTTTCTTGTACTCTATGTGTTTACGTCGTGGTCTGAGCCTGCGGAAGATATTTCATGTCATTACTTAGAGGTGGATGATGCGTTACCATCTGCAGATGATTACAGCTTTTCTCCTTCGGATAAATCTATTTTCTTTCACGAAACTTCATGTACAGCAAATTTGACTTCTAGACAATCGTGCGCAATAGAATCAGCAGCGCGAGCGCATAGATATTTTGAAATCCATGTGTTGTTCAGCTCCCCAGTCAGTGAAGCTACTCTTCATGAGTCGAATTTAAAAGAGCTAACTATATTCGATAATATTAGATTTTCAAGAATACATATAGTCAAATATGCTGAGGGAACGCCGGTGGCTGATTTAGTGAAAAGTGGCGCGTTAAACAGGACTCAATGGAAAATCTCGCACACGTCAGACGTGTTAAGGTTCTTGACTTTGTACAAGTGGGGTGGAATTTATTTAGACTTGGATGTTGTAGTCGCTAGGACCTTAGACCACCTTGCAAAGAATTGGGCGGCGAGAGAAAGTAACACTGCTGTCGCTACTGGAGCTTTAGCGTTTTCGCGTGACGAAATCGGTAGGAGTATTGCAACGGCTACGATCAGGTGAGATCTTTTTAAAATAAATAACCGATACAATTGATTGCTACGGAGTTTTGCCCGAGGTAGGTACCGACTAAATACTCAATCGGTCCGGAGCCATGTCGTTGCTGCAAGCTAACAATTAATAAAAAAAATCAATGAACAGTTTGTCATTTGTTGATTGTGTTGTAGTTTCGGTTAAAATTTCTTTCAAATACGTACATATTTACGTAATATCAACAAATATGCAGTGCAGCGTAACAGAATTCACTACTCCATGTCATCCCGTGGGTGTCGTAAAAGGCGAAAGAGGAAAAAAGTTAAAAAATGATTAAAACTACTTTTACGGATTTTATCGCGTTTATTTTTACTTTTTATTTACTTTTATTTTTAATTCCCGACGTTTCGGGCCCTTTCCAGCACCCATGGTCACGGGGGACTGAGATGACTGACGTCCCGATGTCATTGTTAAACCCGGAGTACCTTCAGCTTTTTTAATTAATGTTTATGGTCCGATCTATACAAAATGAACTGACTGTGTCTTGAGGTCTTGCAGTGGTATGCTTGGGTTTAGTTTTAATTTTATTGATTATAGGATCCCAAGCAGGTGGTAGTACCCAGCCTCCTTCTCTATTGAAATTAGGATGTTTTTTAATTTCAATAGCCTCACGTATCATCCTTGGTAGGAATCGGTGTTCTTTCGCAAGGATTTGTGGTCTATCAAATCTGATGTAATGGTTGGGTCCGTCTAGGATATGATCACAAACTGCAGACAGACAGAGTAAAAATAAACGCGATAAAATCCGTAAAAGTAGTTTTAATCATGTATAGTGTTCGCGTAAATATAAGAAATCATTAAGTTAAAAAATATTATGAAGAGCAGCAGCATCTTCATAATAACAACTTAAGGTAATAAAAAACTGCGGTTACCAATCCGCCTGACAAGCGTGGCAACTATTGCAGCATGCATTGCAGCATGTTTAGCAGCGGACGTATGATGGGTTGCGAAAAAAAATTGTGGAAAAAAAAATATTTGTTGGTACATATTTTAAAAAGCTGTTCTCTCGTTTTCGAAACCATTGCAGTTATTCACGGTCGTAGATGGTAGACGATAATAGGTAGTGGCAGCTTATGTACCATACGTCGGCAGAGTAAGCAAATCCACCATCATATTCCTGTGGATGTTGTAAAAGTCAACTAAGGCATAATGATGAGTACCTACTTTTTGCCTAAAGTACCACCACACAAATCCAACAGATGATGAATGGCCATTTCAGAAGTCGTCAGAACTATCACATTCTGATCGGTTATGGCTCAAGATCGTAGTGAACAGTACATACAAAAACTAACCAGTTTGTTAATTATCTTAGTAATTTAACATAATAATATCGTATATTACTAAAATAATAAAATAGCTGATTTTATTATAAAATAAATTATTTGTGCACAAGTAATAAGAAATATTATTCACAGATAAGTGTAAGTAAGTTATTCGGTGAATACCATTGTACAAAGGCGGGATTATTATGTTATGATGGAATTCTCTGTCAACTAGTAGTGTATGTCACAGTAATTATCGATTTGCAATTTTTTGACTTGTGTAAAGCAAATCTTTTCAGAACAGAATATTAGTTGCCGAGTATATTCGCGAACACTGGTGCACTCTCTATACCCTCACTCCTAGTATGACATGACGGTAATCCGCCATGAACGCAGAGAGATCAGGTGCAGGAGCAACGGTTTTCCGTGGCACGGGGTGAAACACCGCCAACCTATGAGTATAATATAAATGAATATAGAGTAAACTATTTAACCATTGTGTCTTTCTTACTTTCTTTGTCAGTTTTTTAAGTTTCGAAAAGTTTAGGCTGTCTAAATCTACTACCGAAAGATTTTCTAATAAAACGCCAATTGATATAAAAAGTAGAAATATTCCAACCCAATATTCCAAAATTTCTAATTTGCAAACCATGGTTCACAAAACATGTTGTACAAAGTCTGCAAAACTCTCTATTTGTGCAAATGGGGTTACATCCGTTCGAGTATACCGTATTTAATCCTGTAAACCTAGCCGTAGAAATTAGGAACATCAACATTGCGAAGATGTTGACTCTGACTATCCGCCGTAACTTTTTTTCCTACAGAGAAATCCAGACAAACTTCAGAGGCGACAAATGGGGCTACAATGGCCCCGGGGTCATTACACGCGTTCTTAAGAAAATGTGTACTACCAACAACGTTACTCTTATGTCGGCTGCATACTGTGGAGGTGAGAAAGCTATTATTGAAATAAGTATAGATTACGATTATGTACAATATAAGCAACCAATTACCCTTCCTTAACCAGTTCCGCACTCATGCCTACTATAAAGCTAAAACACAAAACGTCAAAAATCATGCAAGTAAAACATTAACATCAATAATTATTTTAATGCGGGCTCTACACGGACCGTCAAGAACTTCAACGATCTCTCCAACACTCGATGTAGGGAGGTAAGCTTTATGGTTTGAACTAATTAAAAAAAAAAGGTTCAGGCGAACATTTAGAGTAGGACGTTTGGACGATTGAGTAATGCCATCATAATGATCCGAAATTACAAACAAGAACCTTATTAAAACGTTTGAAAGAGATACCTTAATACAATACTTTTTGTTTTAGGATTCGAAGTATATAAACCAGAGTTCTTCTACCCAATAAAGTGGCAGCAGGAAAGAAATATTTTGAGGCGGGCGAGTTGAAAAATAGAGGCGCTTTCGTGTATCACGTTTGGAACCACCTGACAAAGGCACATAAGGTCGATAAAAATTCTCCATACGCGCAGCTCGCAAGACGTTTCTGTCCATTAACGTATGATTTGTATGGTGATCAGTTTGGTGCTTAGCTGTGAATCATGTGATAGTCATCGTCTCAATTCACTTTTAGCAATTAAACAAAAAGATAAAAAACTAAATCAATAGAAAAATGGAAGTGCATGAAATCAGAACGCGATTTAAGCAGCTGTTAATAATATCAATTATTGAGGTTTATCGTCAAAACTTTAGTATTTTGAAAAGATCTCATGTTTACTATGTCAATACGGGTTGGTGATTCGAATTCTAGAACAAATAATTGAGTTAGAGTCTGAAAATTATATGGACTGGGAACTGACAAAACTATGTTCGACTTATAGAGCTAAATCTGGTACTGAGGTTTCAAGCTGATTGTCTTTTTTTAAATTAATTTATATACCAATTCAAAACCGAATAAAGAATAAATTAAGGAACACTATTTGTCTCTTTAACTCCTCTCTTTTTCTCCTCTTAGTTATGGTCACCAATATACCTTAAGTATGTTGTCATTTTATAGTATATAAGTTGTATTTTTTTTTGTCTAATTTAGTGCACCCTACCCATTAATCTTATTTTTATTTTTTATTAATTTCCTCTTCTGGGTTGTCTGGAAGAGATTGCTATGTAGCAATAAGACCGCCTTTTGTTTATCCCTCATTATTTTTTCATTATTTGTTATATTTATGTTTTGTTGGTGTACAATAAAGAGTATTGTATAGTATTGTATTGTATTGTATTGTAGAGTTAATACGTGGCTGTTTTGTCGCTATTATATAAAACTCCACTTTTACAGGAGAGCGAGCAAACATATACCCTGGCAATGGTAGGTATGTGTTATAATATTCTATGGAGGCAATGCAAGCTATTGTGTACAAATGGTAGAGCTTTGCTACAGCTATGTTATGGTTGAAGCATGAATGTGGGTTCGATTGGGGAAGGACCACACTCTCACAGAATACCAGCCTAAAACAACAGATTAACGAAGAAATGAGGCATTCCATCTTAGGCTTCAGAGGTCTTGTCACCTCTTGACACGAGCTAAGTGGTCAGAGCGGGGGGGGGGGAATCCACACTTCCCCACTTGGATAGCGGTTAAATAGCTCAAAAAAAACCCACAGAGATACATGATGATTGGTAACAAAACCAAATCATAAACCATCATTATCACCATCGCTTTTCTCTTCTTTTAAACAACTGTTTAAAATCAGGTAACACTGTAAAAGCCAAGTAGGCTAACAGCGCTAAGATCACAGAATAAATATAATAAAGATGTAACCTCTAATATAATTAAAAGTTATTGTTGCAAACAATATTAAAATCTAGTATACATTAAATTTTATTGTAGAAGATGTTTTTAAGTTGAGCTACGCTGAATATATTATTCCTGCAGCACTAATGGGTCGACTCGATCAGGAAAGGACGACTTTCGCAAAGAATATGTGTGGAAAACAGCAAATTGTTTCTATTTTCAAATAAGTAAAAGTAAAGTAAAGTTACAGCCTATATACGTCCCACTGGTGGGCACAGGCCTCCTCTCGTTCCTGATAGGGTTTGAGGGCAAGGAAATGTCCGCCGCGCTGCCTCAATGCGTGTTGGCGAACGTCACGTGTCTTCGAAATATTTTTTTTTCTTATTTCTCAGACATGCAGGTTTCCTCACGATGTTTTCCTTCACCGGCGAGCACGTGGTAAATCAGTACTTAAAATTGCAATTAACAATTTCATTGGTGCCGGCGGGGATTTTCAAATGGTGACTGACAAATACTAGATAGATATACCCGTTTTACTTTTAACGTGGCGTTCCATCTTAGTTCCTCAAGGGTGACAACGCATTTCCAATTTTATTGTTTATCCAGGATAAATGTAGATGTCTATAGATCACTGTATTTATTCATTCATTCATTCATTACACCCTATGAATGTCCACTACTGAATATGCCTCCCCTTAGATTGCCTCATAAGAAGGATATTTACTAAAGTTGCCAACATTATTATAACATATGTATATATATATATATATATATATATATATATATATATATTTTTATATATATATATAATATAAGGCTCCGTATAAAAAACCCCTCTTCTGGCCACATCATGAAGTGACGAGCTTTCAAAACACTTTGAGGTTTGCACAGTCCAGTTTGCGCGAGATTACCTGCATGAGCCATTGTACAGTCATGCCTGCACAGGCCTGGACTGCGCAGGTAAGACGGAGCGTGTAGCCGGGCCATTACTAAGTAAAGTTGAATTCAAATGACGGCCATGCTTATGTTTTCCTCATTTTTTATATATCCTCCTGATACCCCTGGTTTCACTCATGATACCGAGATTCAATATTTTTTTCCGCGCCATCTAGCAGTTTTGCTGTGAACTATTTACGTAGTAAGTTACGTAGTATGACTGTGTGTCGTCATAATGTGGTTTTGGTTAATTCAAAGGAGTTTGACAGTTATTTATATTCACTTGCGTGAAATATTTTTTGCGAGTAACGACATGTCGGCGAACAAAAAAGGTAAATATTGGTTTTATTTACATTTGTATTATTTTTTTAACTGTTTCGAATAGAGAAATGACAAAATTTTCATTTGACATTGAGAAAATTGTAAAAGTGTTTTGCAAACGTACTTATTTTAGCCGATTTTTTTCGGTATCATTGATGATACTTTGGGCGCTTAACATATTTTTAATAATTTTTACAGGTTTGGAAGATAATCAAATTTGAGTTTCTGGTGAATCTCAATGTCTCCGATTGCGAAGACTTTGACCAAGACGATGATGACGTGGATGAATTCTCTCAGGATCATCAGATCTTCGAAAAAATGATATCTCGAAATCCTGAAAGTGAGTGGGAGGAATCGGATGACGACTTGACGAATTGTTCAACGTTAGTCGTGATCATCAGAGGAGAGCCATTAACCGACCACTGACGAGGAATCGTTCAGATAACTTCAATAATATCTTTGATGCAGATCCGCCATTGGAAAGTCAGCCCACGGAAAACGCCTCACTTTTAAGTTCTTATGAATACTTTTCGAAATATATTCGCTCCGGCTTTTTTGACATAGTGTCGACCTGTACGAACATATCCAATGTAGAACGAACTGGCAAGTCTCTGAATACGACGCCTGAATAAATAAGATCTTTCATTGGCTGCTCTATGGCAATAGGAATACTTGGTCTTACTCGGATTTGAATGTTTTGGACCGCAGAAACACGAGTGAAACTTGTAGCAGAGACGATCACTCGTAACAGATACTTCAGCATCAGAGCAAACCTGAAAGTTGTGGAAGATCACAAACTGTTTCCAGCAATGAGAGATGTAGAGCCTGAGAAAATGAAAGACAGAAATGTGTATCTATAGACGAACAAATGATACTTTTTACCGGAAAATGTAAAATGAAGCAGGTCGTAAAAGGGAATCCAAATCCCGAAGGGATTAAAGTATTTTTGATGACTAATCCAAATGGATTAGTCATCAAAAATACTTTAATCCTTTAGGATTAGGATGAGAAACTTAATCTAGGAGGACGTGTTATATTAAAACTGATCGACACTTTATCACAAAAAACATCAATCTATATCGATCGTTATTTCACATCCATTACTCTGTTGGAAAACCTAACGGAAAGAAACATCAATTGTACTGGCACTCTCATGAAAAATCGCGTACCGGGATATGTTCATCCTAAACAGCAGCAGAAGAAAAAGAAGGCTTTAATGAAAAGGACTTTACAGAAAGGTAGAGGAAATTATGATTGTGTGGTGAGGCAAGGCGAAAAGATAGCGGTAGTCAAGTGGATTGATAGCAAGCCAATTTATGTAGCATCGACAGAAATTGCCGTTGAACCTCATGGAACGTGCCGCCGCTGGAGCAAGAAAGATCGCCAATATCTTGATATTCCACAACCGGCGGCAATTAAAAAAAATATAATACATACATGGGAGGCATTGATCTATTAGATCGGATTATTGGAAAATATGCAATGCCCGGAAGAACCGGAAAATGGACTGTACGAGCAATCTTTCACTTTTTTGATTTCACGTCTGCTGCAGCTTGGATAGAATATTGTCAAGATACTGTGAGGTGTGGTCTTCCCCGGAAGCAAATAATGCAGTACCTAGATTTCAAAATAGACCTGGCTAAACATTTGATCTATGGCGATACCATGCAATCTCAATCGCAGTGTTCCAGTCTTAGTTTAGACCGTTTATCTCGCAACAGCCCCACGTACCACGTACCGCCCAACGTATAAGTCCCAGACTGACATCAAGCCTTCGACCTCCGTTACCAATGGAAGAAGAACAAGTACTGCCGAATCGGAAAAGGCAGTATAGACTTGTGGAACCAATACCCCATACGTCACAAAGGGTAAAGGAAGCAAAACACTTGCCTGTATGCGCAAAAGACAATCAATAGATCAAAATGTAGAATGAAGGGATGCAGTTAGCTAACTTTCGTGAAATGTTCTACCTGTGACATATTTTATGTTTTAATGTCAATAGAAACTGTTTTTCTAATTTTCACTTGCAATAAATTAAGAATTAAAGTATGTGAAATAAAAAGTAAAAACTACACATTTGAGTTTGATTAGAATCCAAAGTATCATCTGTGATACCCCCTTTTTTGCCCTCTGGCTAGGAGGGGATTTTTATTTTTATTTTTGCTGAAGTCCTTAGGTTTAAACTACTACTTATGCCAAAAATCACGAGGATCCGGCATTATTTTATACCTTGAGTCTCAGGAGGGTATAGTTATTCATCGGAATGCAAGTACACTACATAATTAAATATAACAAACGAAAACTAAAAATAAAGACATTTTAGATATTATTATATACATAAAAAGAAAGTGGCACTAAATTATTTGGCACTTGTAAATGTAGTTTTTCTTGTAGTAATAAAAAA